GAAGTTCCATTATTTTATAGCATAACTCATTCTACTTATTGGCTTTTCTTTCCAAAGGAAACTATACTGTAGAGTTGCAGAAGACTTTACAACTTAAAACGTAATTGGGCATAGTCAGTGAAAAACAAGTCATTTTCTAGCAGATCCTTTCAGTCATCAGATTCTACAGAAGCTCCAGGTCTCTCACTGCCTTTAATTATTTTACAAGTATGTAATTTGTAGAAGAGTATAAAAATGCAAATGACTCATCTATACAAATGCAAATTTCATACATTAGAAAGGGATTAACTGTCATCAAGTGGTTATTAATTCAGCTTTGCCAATTTCTGTACCTGTTTATAAAATAATTTCAGCATCTCTCCTCTGACTATGGATTTGAGAACTGGAACACCCTTTGAACCACTAATAACATCTTACTTGCTCCTTCATTAGTTTCTCAGTTTTATAAATCTTGGACACATGTATTGCATTTCTGTGTGAAAGCCACAATTCTAACTTTTAAAAAAATTTTTACAACATATACCTCTTCTTAATGAATGTCAACAACCCGATAGGATTTGCCTGGAAAAAAATTCCTGTTTCCTGTGTGGAATAAAATTTCAACCGCAAATGAAAGTTATTTTAAATATTTAAAAAGTAAGTTCCTATAAAGGATAAAAAGCAATTATCTTTTTACCTACTCTAGATGACAATATTATGTACTTTCCATCAAGAATGCAGTTGGAATTTCATTAGAGACCCCAAAACAAAACATAAGAGAGATAATACAGGCAGGCCAGAATTGGCATACGACATGATTCGAGGCTGTTTTTTGCTGCATAAAATTGAGCCCCTTTCCAGTTCAGATGGTACAGCTGGCAGAAACTACTTCAGCAGATATGAAAAGGCTCGCCTGCTCTCTGTGTTGCTTTTCCTGTCTGACATTCTTAGAGACTGTGAAGCTGCCACTTGGCACCTTAGGGAGTTCACACTCCCATGTGTGTGTCAGAACGTTCATCAGCTAACTTTTTGAAGTTGTGAGGAACTTCTTTATTACACTGCTTTCTGAAAAGCTTAAAAACATGACTTCAATCTTTAGTTCTTCAGAATTTCTTACCCATTCAGTTGATAATATTTATCTGATATATATATATATATATATACATATATATATATATATATACATATATATATATATAACTTGTTTATATCATATTCAATTGTTAATGATTAGGACATTTTTTTAATCAATACACTACATTGATTTTCAATTTTTCATATGGACATGTAACATTTTAAATAGATTATCTTCTCAACAAAACGTATGCCAATCAAGATTTAGACATACTTAGGTTAGAAGCCCACCAAGAAGCCAACCCACCAGCCTTTGAGATAAGCTGCGCAAGCCATGCGGGGCCCAGGAGAACAGTCAGCGCCTCTAGTGAGGCTGCCCGCATGCAGGCTGAGAAGCAGCCCCAGTCACAACACCACCAGTCCCCGTAAGCAGCTGGCTGGTTTGGAGGACAGGCTGAGTTGATAGCAACTGAGGTACAAAAAGCAACTAAATGTTTGTATTGCTTGGATGATTTTGCAGACCTGGGGGCAGCATTTAACATCTATTGGGAAGATGACAGTATGCAAAGTAGAAAATACAGGCTATTTCATTCTACCTGTCTTTAAAATCCAATATTGTTTCCTCCATTTTGTTTTGTTCAATTAATTGTTTTGCTTTATTCAATGTTCTGCTTCTATTGGTTTTATTTTGTTTTGTCTTGGTTTGATTTTGTTATACCTGATGAAATGGACAACTAATAGATATACTACAGTAGCTATTGCTGTTTTCCTGCTATCCTGCTTTGAAGTTCTGTACTAATTTGACTGCTTTGTTTTGATTTAATTTGTTCTGTTTTGTTTTGTTGGATTTTATTATCTTTAAAATAAAAGATAAAAAAATTAAAAGAAGATTTAGAAATACTTGAATTTGATAAGTTGTTTTCCATTCTATACATTCTATTCTGTACATTTTAAGGAACATTAATATTGTTATTCTAAAAGATAAAACTTCTATGATACAAAATTATTTTTCCATAGAGTTATCAAGTGCTTTATATGTAAATACCATGTATTTTTTAAAATTTTACTTCAAGCTATTTTCAGAATTAGGAAAAGTAAACTTTAAAATATCTCTTTTTTGTTTGGTCAAAAATATAAATACTAGTCTGGAAAAACAGAACATTAGAAAATAGAAAATAAAAAATAAAATTTACATTTTAGCCTAAGTTTAAAGAGAGACTGTACTGTTTCTTTAGTTTTAGTTTACTTCTAAACAAAATTGTCTAATGTCATGTGTTTATGATTCAGTTTCATTATTAGACTATATGAAAAAACCTCAGAGATTTTTACCTGCAGATTTGTTCAATCTTCAGCAGGAATGTTAAATATGTAAAATGTAAACAGTATGGTTTATTTAGTTTTGTGTATACTAAATAAGAAAATGTTTGCTAGTTCAGTTTTAGCTTGAATGCTTCCAATATTTACAAATATTATCCTTTACTGCTTACTGATCCAAACATGAAAAAAATGATAAAAGTAAAATAAAAGTAGGAAGAAAAACAAAATAATATAATTTTATGGTCCTTGTTCTAAATATATTCCCAATGGAGAAAAATTTGAATTTCAATATGTATGAAGGTATGGACAGCTATTTTGAAGAGAACAAGAGACATTAGTGGCCATTGTTGATTTCCTGTTGTCTGGTTTTAAAGACCTATAGTGCTTTCATTCTTTTATTTTGATCAGTTTTATATTATTCTGTCTTGTTTGAATTCATTGTGCGTGATGATATGGACAACTCAAAATAGTTGTTTTCTTCAAAATAAGAAAACAAGAGACATTATGGTAGCCACTATTGGTTTCCTGTTGTGTTTTGAAATCCTGTGCTGCTTACATTGTTTTGTTCTGATCTGCTTTGTTCTGTTTGTTTTGTTTTATTCTTTTTAAAATAAAAAAAAAACAAAAAAAATTGAATGTAAGTTTCCTAAGGAAAAAAGTCTGCAAAACAACAACTAGCAATGCTAGTAATTCATTGATCAAACTCATACTTACAGTTTCACTGTAACTGACAATCATTTGTTGGTTTAAGAAAGAGTTACCATATAAGTACCAAGCAATAACAGGTGAAAATACTATGTTATACTAGATCATGTCAAGAGACAAGGTTTACATTGGATGGTTCACGTATACTTGTAAAACTTGAACTGGAAAACTATAAGGAATGTGATGAACTAGAAGATTTTATTCTTCCAATAAATAAAACAAAATATTATTGAAAGTTATATGAGTAAACAAAATGTCAATTTATTGACAATGCTGTCTTCTTCACCAATAGTTGACAAAAATTGAAATTTACCAGGATATGTGCAGTTAGTGTCTAGAAATAATACTAGAAAGAACACTTTAAAGTATTTCTCGGCACTGAGCTGTGTTCATGAATCACGTGGAGATCATGCTAAGATAAAGATTTTAATTATTTTAGTCAGCAAGCTGTAAAGTTTTATATTTTTTACTAATTCTGACATGATATTGATACTGTAGCCAGAGTATCATACTTTGAGGAGCAAGACTTTCAAATACCTCCAATGGGAAGACAGAAATTCTCAACATTCCTGCTACATTCAGCATTTACATTTATAGTCAATATGAATGCATACATTAAACTTTGATGCTTATAGAAAAAACAGAGAACTGCAAATATAGGAGTTTCAGAATTAGAATAAAATTGATCCTAATGTTTCTGTCACCATTATACCACTCATTTTCTAAGAAGTAAGAAGAGTACCAGTGCCTCAGTACTCCCCTTCTCCCCAGTTGGAACTAGACTGGTCCTATTACAAAAGACACTGGGACACCAACAAGCAGGGATTACTGAGCCAAGTACTTAGGTGTCTACAAAGTCTAAAGGGAGACTCTGTGTCTACTTTGAGAATAGTGTCTCCTACATTTGGGTGACAGTTGTTTTAATGTAGTCTCCTTAATCTCTGCACTATTCATGGAATTGAAATTTAGGGCTTATGTTTCCATCTTACAGTGTTTTTCTCCATGTACCAGTATCTTGTCTTTTCCAACTTGAACTCAAACATGTATCTAATTCTTCTCTACCCTTCTGTCGCTCCTTCTCCATGTGCTTTGGTAAAGCTTTAGCCATCTCTAAATAAGTATGCAAACCTTACAAGGCTGCCACGGACTCTAATTTTCCCTAAGTAATACCTGACTATATATCAAGATGGCTTTTGGATGAATTTGTATGTGCAGGAATAATTAGAGAAACATATACTATCCTGAGAAATAACATTCTAACCAAATATTTGGTAGTGCTATGATATTACCACCAAGCCGCTTCCCATCCCCTTCACCCGCTGTGGCTTCACACGGCTCATTTAGTGACCACTGTGGTTGGCTTCAGATCAAATCCTGGAGCCACTGTCCACTGGTTTTCCTGATTCTAAAATACTTTGCACAGTCAAATGACATAAAGTACCCTTTAATATATTCAACAAATAGCCTAAGGATCTAAAAGGTTTTGCAAAAGAATTGTACCAGATATTTAAAATATTGGGACAGAATTCTGCCATAATAAATTTCCATATAATATTTTGATTAGCATTTATCATATGCATGAATGCTTGCCTGGTATTAGATTATCCTTTAAATAATAACATTGATTGCCTGTTCTTCTTTACTCATGCCTAATACAAAACATGCACTACTTTTTTGTTAGGTTATTCATGAATGCTTGTGATAGCAACACCAAGTTTACTTTGTTTTTCAGGACAATTGAAGTGATACATATCTCTACCAATGAGGAACAAAAATTACTTTGATGACATATTATTTTTGGGGAAATGTCCAAGGAATATGGATTAGGAACCCTGCAAGTAGATAGAGAAAGCCCAAATTGAGTGTTCCATTTGACATCATGCACTGATTTCAGACTATGCTTACAAGGCCACTTTGAAACTCACTTCTTCAGTGTAGATTTTCAATGAAGATCCTCCACTGGAGGCTTCTCCCTAGAAACAAAGAGCAATAGATGTTGAGAACGTTTAAACAAGGAGACAGAAAGGAGGACAGTGAGACTGAAGAGCCATGCCAAATCCTTACCCTTCCCCAGCCTTCTCAGCCGACTTGTGATGTTATCAGTTTGAAAACTTCATACTCTTTGAAGCAGAATTTTCTCAAGGCAATAAACAAATCAGTAACTAAGTGGTAACTAAATCTTAGAGCAGCATTTTAAATTTAAAAATTTTTCATTGTTGGTTCTTAAAATGGGATGAAGAAAAGTTCTGTATTTTATAAATTTGTGTGAAGATCTGACTTAATAAATATGTATGGAAACAGACACATCCTTAACCTTTAAATCTGGCCTTTTTTACTTTGCTAGCATTTAACCAGTAAATTCTCTATTATTTGTGCCTATTACTAGTTTTTCACTGAACACTCATAACCACCAAGATTTGAATCGTTGTCATTTAAAACATGAAATTAAACATGTATTTCAAATTTTCAAACAAGTTGTTAGTTTGGACAAGTTTTATTTTTGTATTCCACAGCCAGAGACATTTGGAAATAAATTGTGATATATCATGAAATGATAAATTGTAGGATACCGTATGTGTTTAAAATGTAACTAAATAAATATGAATATAGATTACATTTGTTTCCACAGAATCTTTAACTTTTCAAGGATGCTCACATATATTATCTCAGTGTTTTTCCACTATAATCTGAGGGCAAGACATCCTCAGGGCAATTTGATATGTAGAGACATTGAAGCCAGGAAGAGTAAACTGATTAAAATCAAGGAGCTGGATAAAGCATCATTGGGCCTGGACTACACTCTGACAATCTTCTACCTCACCAAAATGGAAAAAAAAATTATGAAAAAAATTAAATTTACTTTACTTGAAAATTCTTGATATATGCTCTAACACACTTGGAGGAGGGGGAGAGGGGCAGTATCCTTATGTCAAAACAAAAATTAATTTACATGTGAAATGCTGATATTCCTAAAATCTTAGAAATTACAGGTCAAACCACAGAGGTAGTAATATTGCTTCCTAAATCATGTTTTCTACCAGCAAAAAAATCAATATGCTATGGTTGAAAAGCTTTCAAATGCTTCCAAGCTTGGATGAAATGTGGATAAAATGGGAAAAAATATTGAAGGAGATAAGGTATTTCTATTTTTTTAAACTAAGGCAAAAACTATTTAGAAAAAAATCAAATCCAAGTAAGTCCCCTAAGCCCTGAGGAATTTAACTCAAAGTACACAGGGAGGACTGAAAACTTACATTAGATAAATTTCTTAGAGTTGAGCTTGCTACACTCTCTCCTTTCATTTGAGCAACTAACCAGGAGTGCTATGTCTCTTCCAAAATAAGTCTTTCATGTGACAGAACTGGTCCTTGGCACGCTAATGTTTCCTTCCATTCTGCTCTGATTGCCAGGGGAAGAGGACAAGGTAGCAAACAGCTTGGAGTTCCAGATGTTGCTCTCTGGGCAGCCAGCAGAGGAAGCCTGCCTGGCAGCCTCTGAACAGAGAAAGGCTCACAGCAGGGACATGTTGAGCAGCTCCTGGCAGCTCCTTGACAGGGAGATTTGTTTCCTGGGAGCTTGATTGCAGAAGTTTTCCCAATTTGTTTGGATAGTGATGGTCTTCGATTAAGATATAGAAGTGACTGAGGGTTTTCTTGATGATTAAACATAAATTATTTTTTCTTGATAGCCTTGCTTCTTCCCCCAGTGCTTGGTCTTTTGAATGTCTATGCCAGTGAAAAGGAGTGTGAAAGCTGGTGATACTAGGATGAAATCCTTCTCGTTAGATTGACAAAACTAGTCAGAAAACTATGAAGAAAGAGGACTTCTGTCTCCCTATCTGAGATAAGGACTTTCTTAAAGATTATCTAAAAGCCCAGAAGAGATTTACATACATTTATACATACCCTAACATACCCTAACCAGTGCACTACTCTCACATATGCAGGTTTGTATAATAAAGTCTATCTTTGATCTTCTTTAAGATTATGAGTATTCAGACAATGTGCTCTTCACAGACCTGACCCCATCAACTGGCACTGATGTCAACTCCCATCTTGGAGATGAGTGAACTTCATGTCCAAGCAGCTTACATAAATTTCTCTCTTTTGCCTCTAAAACTCTTGCATTGCCTCAACCTTCTTAAATATACTCATTATTTACCATGGAACATGCATTCCCATTACAATCTTCTGTCTTTCCTGAATCAATATCATTATTCTTAGGAAAATCTGTCTTTGCTTATTATTAAGAAGGGCAAGAGAAATTCACATAATATTACTTATTTCAGAATGTGGCTGAAATCACTGACCAGGTAGCAGCAAGGAACATTAATGACTCCAGAAAGAAAATACAGGGAAACGACCACTTTGTAGAGAGAATTATAAACATTTCATGAGGCTCACTGGACAAAGCAAAGAATACATGTCAGCACCTCCGATTCTTAGGGTCAAAAGAGATAACCTCAGTCAATAAGCTCACTGCAATATATCTGGTTTAGGTTTCTCATTTTCACCACAGGACCCTTGAAAGCCTAAGATTACCACCTTCTCCCACTGGGGTCTCTATGAAATAAAATCCCATTCAAAGTCCAAAGCTATCAATTTCAGTCCACCTTGAAATAATGTTAAAGAATTGGAAGTTTAAATATCAAGTCATTCTCACCACATAATATTTTGGTAGTCATGTGGAAATGAATCAAAAATAGCCAAATGCAATTTCCCTTGAAAAACAAAGAAAGTGAAGGAGACATAAAAGAGGAAGAAGGGGGCATGAGCCAGGGGAAAGGGAAGAACACCTGGGAACTATGCCTCCAACTTTTTTAAAAAAGGTGTTTCCTGAAATATGGTTTCATGTATCATGATTTCCTAGTATAATCACAACTAAGACAAAAATGTTTTAAATGTGAATTAGAAAATATATTGTAAACTGAGAAAAAGTTGATTACTGCTGAACATATCAAATAGAATGTTGGCTCCTATCAGATGAAAAAGGCTCCTGTCACTTCCTTGGTTATTTCAGAGTTAACGAAACATTCTCAGTACGATCCAGTGTCCTAGACAGACAGGTAGAACTAGATCCACATGCACCTCAATCCACTGTCATTTTTCACTATTTCTTGCCTCTCGTTTGTCAGTTAATGTTCTATTCACTTCTGATGCTTCAACACAATCTAAGACTGACACTTTGCATGTAGGGCACTTTTATTGATGAGTATTACACATCTAAGATCTCTGGTGTTAATTTACTTCCCTAAAAGTATCATGAGAAGCTTGCTTTACTAAAATGCCCTTTCTACCTTCTTCCAAGTGAAACGAAACCGTAATTCTAACACAGAGTCCCTCTTAAGAAATGATTGTGGTTTTTTGCCACCCATAGAAAAATTAGGGCTTAAAGTGGCTGGTGAAGGCATTTCTGAACCCAAAGACCCATAATTTTTTTTTTTTTTTTGTACTGGGGATTAAACTCACGACCTCACACTTGTCAATTAGGCACTCATGCCACTGAGTATATTTCCCCAGCCTGAGACCTACAAATCTTTACCCATTATTTCTTTCACAAGTATGTATCAAGCTTCTATTGGGTGCCACATACTGTGACAGGTGGTAGGACAAAAGCTGAGCAAAAAATAGTCCCTACTTTAAAGAGCTCACCTTTAGAAAACAGATATATAAGTAGCAAAAATCCAGAGCAAAAATTCTTGATACGAGATACCATGGAGATACATAAGAGGAAAAGGCTAGAGAGCTGTATCAGTCAGTGGCACTAGATAAACAGACATAATACAAGACATACAAATATATAAGTATTTACAGGATTGGTTCACAATGGCAACCTACAGATTTAGATGAAAAAAGTGCAGAGGGTCTGTCTGCATGCTGGACGCCAAAGAATCCAGTCAAAGGCTTGGAGCTCACTGCAGTGTCCCATGCTAATAGTATTGGGAGGCCAGTGGATTTGCAGTGTAAGGCTGAGGGGTCTACACTAGAAGTCTACACCAGAATGCTAAAGAATGTGCTGAGAGTTCCATACTATAGGTACTAACATGTTAGCTATGTGTTGTGTTTTTTAATTGCACTGTTATACAGGGTAATTGAATTTAAGACAGACAATGAAGAGACTGAAATTCAACTTTCTGACAAATTGAATAGGTGACAACTATTACTATTGAGGTCAAAGGGAACAAACAATGAGGTCTGTTCCCAACCAATAGAAAACAGATTATAGAAATTTAGAAATAGTTGGAAAGCTCAGAAGTCTTTGGAACCATTAATGCATTCAACAAATTTAAAAGTATGTAAATTGTTTTATATTTAATTTCTTCCTAAGTCTTCTCATGTCAAGTTTAAAGATATTTTTGAAAATTTGCCCCTAACTTTATAGACAAACACATTAAAAGTCCAGGCTGCTTTTCTCTGAAAGGGACCCGTTGAGTCAACAGAGAAGATACTCATTTGTAACTTTGCTTAAAACCATAAAGCAGTGACACTGTAAGGTGTCTTATGATTTACTGTTTTTAAAATCCACTGATAAAACACTTTGTGTCCATACCACAAATCAGCAGTTTGGGGCTTGATCAAAAGTGTCCCTTCAAAAGAAATAGAACTCTATGGTTATAACCATAACCAGATTTTAAATTAAAATGAAAATAACTTACAGATTTTCTTCCAAGTGTATATTACACTAAGCTGAATAGTTACTTTAGTGGGAGCAGCCTTACCCTAAAGACTTTTCTTAAAAGAATGAAAAAGAACAGAGGCAATAATGTAAATAATGACTATACTAAGCATGTTAAATTTTGAAAGATTTAAAACATTTTGGTGCTCCTTTTTTCTGCCAAAAACATAAATCTTTCTATTCTTCACTTTTATTCAATCCCTTTTTGAAAAAGAGTGGGAGGGCAAACATAGTAATAAGCAGCTCCATATTTGGGAGCGTGCGTATTTTAACCAGCAGACATTGGATAAGAGAAGGG